TCATTCGGTTTGAAAGTCGTCTGTCGCCATTGTCGATGAAATCTGGTCAAAGTCTTATTGGTTTCATGCCATAGCCATTCATCTTCTTCTGATTTCATCTCCACCTCCTGGCTAGGAATTTTTCCTTCGATCTTGTATTTGGGTCTCTTCTGGTCTGGATCGAGGCTCATCCCTCCGTCCTGATCAAGTTCTTGGTCAAGATCTTCTCGACGGTTCTCCTTGGTCAGATCGATGTATCCAGACTTGGGCTCTTCTTCCAGAATGTGACGTAGGTTTGAGAGGCCTTCCATCCAAGCATGTCTCAATTGTTCTGGTGTTGCTTTGACGATGTGCCTTCTGAAGCTGATCCAGGTGGAGAGGTGAATATCACCTTGGCAGGTCTTTGCCAGTAACTTGGGCTTTCTTTGCTGGCCTGATCTCCTGGAGCTTTCCTCCAGAAAAAGACCGTTTGACCAACCTCGAATTCGACAACCTCTCTTCGCCTAGCGTGGAGTGAGTTGGTGAGGGCTTGTTGAACTTCTACTTCATGAAATGCCTTTGCAGCGGCCAATCTCATTGTCTGGGCCCGTTGAATTTGTAAATCTCCTCGGGTTGCCCAGCTTCGAGTCTCCTTCTTTTCCTTGGTGAGAAATTGCAGGGCGAGAATCCTGATTTGTTCGTCAACCTGTTGACCGTCATGTTCACAATGTCCACCAGGTCTCGCCACTCTAGGTCCGATTGTACAGCATAGTTGTCCATAGCTTTTACTAGGATCTCCTTCAAGGTCTTTCCAGCCCTTTCTGTTATGGATCTCTGAATCGGCATTTCTAATGCACTTAGTTCCACTAAAGTTTCGTCTAGCTCAGCCCCATCTTGTAAAGAGCCTTTGTGGAACACCCATGAACCGAATCCATTCCAAATAGACTCTTCGGGCATCTGGTGCAGTATGGCTTCGAAGAGGAATCACCATCTCGAATCGGGTCGACCAGCGCACGATATTCAGGGCCATTCTTCTTTTCTTTCCTGGAGTCGGTAACCAGACCGTGTCGATGCCGATCGTGTGGTTCGGTGTTAGTTCCTTTGGAGGTGCTGCAGTTCTTGGGGGTCTAACCAGCTGATGTTGTTGACATGTCGAACACACCAGGTTTTTGACGTACTCAATGGCCTTCTTTGAAGCATTGGCTCCTTTCAAGATTCTTGCCAATCTGGTGTTGCCCGGATGTCCAAGTCCTTCATGGGCTCGTCGTACAAGTTGTTCAGTGGAGAAAGGTCGTTCTCTTGGAAGGTAGTCTTTCCCCTTCACTTCTTCTGCTTCTTCTTGTTCAGCCTCATCTTGTAGAGGATGTACTTCGTGACCTCCGTGTTCATGTTATTCCATTTGTGTGACATCCACGAACCAATTCCAGAGATTCTCTTTCTGTTTGATCCTCCTGTCGAGCTTCATGTAGTCGTCGAAGTCCAACCATTCCATTTCCTGGGGTTTGAGGTTGTGATGGTCCTGAATTTCTTGGCAATACCCTTTTAGGATCGCCTTGATCAATGCAGGAGGGTATTCTTGAGCTTGCTTGGATCGGCTGCTCCCCATACACGTGCCAAGTACCGGGGTGTGTTGGTGTTCCCCTCGGCATTGTCGGTTCAACTGTTCTGCAATTCTTGGGCTGTTCGTGATCCAGCCTGTTTGTTTCTTCAGAACGCCTCCTGCTCGATCGTGCAGTCCAGATTGGCATTGGTCACATTTGGCAAGAATGCAATTTTCCTTGTGGATGATCTTCTGAAGTCCTCTTTCCATCCAAGCTCTGGAAATCATTGGTTGTTCCAGAAGGTAGATGCCGCCATATTCCTCAATGATCTCGACAATTTCGCATGCAAAATGTAGCAGCACCCGAGCCTCTCGAAGTCTTTTCTTGAAGTTCTCCTTTTCGACGTTCATATTCTGCATGATTGAGAACAGGGTGCATGGTGGTAAGATGACAGTCAATCCAGGTCGTTGTTCCCGGAAAAATCGTTTGACCCCGTCTCGTTCTCCAGGATTCAGCAATTGAGCACCGAGTTCTAGATCAAAGGCAGCGGCAGCAATCAGTCCTGAACGTTTGCAATGGGGCGCGAAGCGCTTTGGATTGAAAATATCAGCAACTGTCTTTGGGGATCCCTTGATCATCTTAGCATAGTGCCGATGAACTGGATTTGATGCGATCTAAATCTTTTGCAATGGCGCAAATTGGCTCATCTGCACTCAAGAGACCCATCAATTCTGTCAAATAGGACTCCGCATTCCGAAGAGATGCTTCCATGGCCTTATAGTTTTTCTCCGGAAGGTCACTCTCGATGGTGGTACTTTCGTTGATCCTTTTGATTCTTCCATTTCTGGTATTCGAGGAACTCCTTGAACTCCTCCGACTTCTCCTCTTCGGTCTCCCCGGCTGACTGGATCTCCTTCTTGATCTCCATCTTGGTTGTGGTGTCTGGTGCATCTGGTTTCCTCGCCGATTTCAGCATTTTGTGACACATCAGGCACTTCTCCACCAAAACGAATCCGTTAGTCCCCCGTTTGGTCGTCTTGGTGTGCTTGCAGTTCTCTGGGTCGATCAGGCCCAGCTTCTCCACTTTCTCCTCGATCTCCTTGGAAGTCTCTTTTCGATTCTTGTTCTTTGAGATCGGACGAGTCTTGGGTGTTGGCACTGGCTCCTGTAGTATCGTCGGTGTCATCGGTGATCCTGGAGAATTAAGGATGGTAGCTGAGAAAGCGTTTCTCCTTGGAGGTGGTTCGAGGTCATTCGAGGTGCTTGCCAGGCGTTGCTGGAGAATTCGTCTGTTCGGTGGATGGATTGGCTCTCTCTGTCGGCGTGGGCCACAGGGTGTAAGCTTTGTTTCTCAGCTTGAATTGTTTCCCACCCAGCATCCTCCGGATCTGTCTCGACCTCGTAGGCTTCCTCCTCCAGCGTTCCGCTCTTGCGACGCTCTCCAAGAAGATCTAGAGCCAACTCGCTCAACTGAATCATCACGAAGAGGAGCTTGGTCACCAGACGTGCCCAGATGGACACATAGCGGCTCTCCTTGACTCGGCTGCGCTTCATGACAAGGAAGTGGAGGAGAGGTTGCAGGTGATTGGAAAGCTGGATCTCTTGGAACCACGGGATTCGAGCCAGACGTCTAATCGTTGGCCGTGGTCTTCATGGTTTCGAATTCCTTTGATCCCGCCTAGAGTAGTTCATGTAGTTGCTGAAGTCGTTCGGTCTGTTCTTGGTTGAATTGGTTCAAAGGGACCCGAAGTGCTCCGGTAGGTCCTAGGTGACAATCAACACCAAAACCAAATCGTCGAAGATATAAGTACAAAACGGCCGGCAGTGCAACAAGAAGGGGAACGAGATCAAAAATGGTGTCTTTCTTGATTCACCTTCTTGAAAAATGGCAGGTCGTAGAATGCTACCTTTGTGTCCTAAGCTTGTCGGAACAATGGCCAAGTGTGACGTCGTCGAAATTCCGTTGATTGATCTAAACCGATGTTCTTGAGGGACGGTTCCAATGTCCAACGAGCTAGGGATGTGATTGGCCAATCTCAACAAGGTGTCTGTCCCAACAGCCATCCGTTGACAACCAATATCAATTGTAGCGCAGCCATCATCATGCACACTGCTCTCCGACCAAGTAGAAGACGGGTTGTGTGCTGTTTCTTTTCTCCTGTGGCGGTCTTTTGGGTGATCATAATTCTCGGATGCCTTCCCCCGCAAACTAGAATCCCCCGAAACAAAAAAAAAATCACTCTCATATCCCTCTATACCCTTACCAATAGCAACGCATTGAACCTTATATCGGGAATAAGATGTGTGCTTCTGTCCAGCTGCAGAGTGGGAGCTAGATACCACTGCAAAACACTCGATTTCCGATCACCCTCCGGCTCAGTCGGGCTCTTACTCGATGTAGTTGAGGTCACCGTCGGAGGCATCAATGAATCTTTCTTCACGTCCATCTCGACGACGATGCCCTTTTGCTCCATGAAATCTTCTGATAATTCATAGGTCTCGTAAAAGTGGCGAATTTGTTCGCCATAGATCTCCTAGTCAAGCTGTTCCTCAGGATCCACCATGCGGAAGAATTTTTCGTCGTTGAAGTCCTTCATATCATCTTCCATCGCGGGTTCTGTAATCTCTAGGTGTCCACAGAAGAAGGCTTCTTTTGATTATTCCTCCTTAATCTTCTCCATATAGTAATTCTGCTTCGGATGGTTTTTTCCACGGTCTTTGCCATCAGGACATTCTCTATACCAATGTGCCCAATGTCCCATTCGCTTGCAGATGGCACATCCCGGCATCATGCCTTCTCCATGTCCTTAATGTCGTCCAGCGCCTTCATGGCGCCCTTCATCCATTTCACTTCCATCATTAAGAAATTAGATGGAATCGTCCATCCCGCGAAAACACCCTCGAATTTTGCGTTCCACTACCACTATGGATCATAAATAACGGTTATTTTCTGCCAACCACAAAATCATTGTCCCGACTTAAACCACGGCATTCGTGGCTACCTTTAATATACTTCTCATTTGTGCGTCTCAACCAATAGAAAAAAAAAAAAAAAGAGAATAGAATCACTTTTAATTAATATATAATTATATATTTTTTTAATATTTATATATATTTAATTTCAATAATAAAATATATTAATAAATAATTTCAATATTTCATCATCAATTTTATAAAATATATATATTATTTCGAAAAAATAATAATCATATTTTAAATATAGAAATCATTCATAATTTATTTCCAAGATTTTCGTTAATGTTTGTTTTTATATAATATTATATATATATAAATATATGAATAATTCAATTGCATTGTTCTTTAAATTCCTTTTCCTTGGAAATTGATGTTTCTGGTCAACGTACCAAGGGTGATACGAATGTGTTATTACGATATATCTATTTAGTGCGTATTGTATGTCTCTATGTCTTTGAAAGGAGAATAAACATCTATATAGTTATCACATTGATTTTGAACAATTGAATAATTGCAACAATTGGTGTTCGTGGCTGCATGGGCCATATATCACAATGTTAGGAGGCTTTCTGCTCGCAGGGTTGCCAAACCCTTTAAGTACACCCCTCACTTTGTGGGTTTTCGCCTTGGTGACAAGAAAATTGGAAAGACAAGCGTGTGCCAAGCGAAGTCAGCCAAACAGGAAAGTGTACTGTAAAATCGACAAGGCTCATGAATGAAAAATTTCTTTGATGAGTGAAACATAAAATTAAATAACATATCATTGGTGCAGTGCAAATATCCAGGATGCGGACCGCATCAGAAGCTCGTACATAAGCGTGGGCTCCTCCACGCAGAATCCGTCTCACGTTCAGAGCGCAGCATCCAAGGCCAAGACCCAAGGGATAAAATACTAGTACCTTCTTGTTACGAGTAGAAATGGCCTCCAACCTAATAGCGATGGCCTAACCTGGTAGCTTCTTGTTACTAGTACAAATGGCCTCCAACCTAATAGCGATCGCCCAGCTCGTTACTAGTAGAAATGGCCTCCAACCTAATAGCGATGGCCCAACCTG